AGGCGCGCGTCACCATGCCCAGCTAATTTTTGTATTTTTAGTAGAGACGGGGCGTCACCTTGTTGACCAGGATGGTCTTGATCTCTTGACCTCGTGATCCACCCGCCTCGGCCTCCCAAAGTGCTAGGATTATAGTTGTGAGCCACCGCGCCCGGCATCTCTCAGTTTTAAACTCTCTCAGCTAAAAGATAAATTCTCTGTGTGTGTGTGTGTATGTGTGTGTGTGTGTTTATTGTTGTTATTGTTTAAGACAGGGTCTAACTCTGTTGCCCAGACTGGAGTCCAGTGGCATGATCTCGGCTCACAGCAACCTCTGCCTCCTGGGTTCAAGCAATTCTCCTGCCTTTCTCCTGCCTCAGCCACCCGAGTAGCTGGGATTACAGGCATGGGCCACCATGCCCAGCTAAATTTTGTATTTTTATTTAATTAATTAATTTATTTTTATTTATTTTTTTACTCCCACACTGGAGTGCAGTGGCACGATCTTGACTCTGCAACTTCCACCTCCCGGGTTCAAATGATTCTTCTGCCTCAGCCTCCCAAGTAGCTGGGACTACAGATGCATGCCACTACGCCTGGCTAATTTTTTGTATTTTTGGTAGAGACGGGGTTTCACCATGTTAGGCAGGTGGTCTTAATCTCCTGACCTTGTGATCCATCCGCCTTGGCCTCCCAAAGTGCTGGGATTACAGGCGTGAGCTACCACACCGGGTCCTGTATTTTTATTTTTATATATGTGATTTCAGACGGAGTTTCGCTCTTGTCACTGAGGCTGGAATGCAGTGGCACAATCTCGGCTCACTACAACCTCTGCCTCCCGGATTCAGGCGATTCTCCTGCCTCAGCCTCCCAGGTAACTGGAATTACAGGTGCCCACCAACACACCCGGATAATTTTTGTAGTTTTAGTAGAGATGGGGTTTTGCCATGTTGGCCAGGCTGGTCTTGAACTCCTGACCTCAAGTGATCTGCCCTCCTCAGCCTCCTAAAGTGCTGGGATTACAGGCGTGAGCCACCACACCTAGCCAAGAAATTATTTTCAATGCTCACCGCCTGTTATTTTCCTGTGGCTATTGTAACAAATAATCACAACCCTGGTGACTTAAACAACACTTTTTTATTTTATTTTG